TTTCGCTATTTTTCGATCTCGTTATTACTTTCAATTCGACTGTTTCGCCGGCCAGGTATATGGCGATAATCGCCACAGTTTAATTAAAGATTATCACCGCTTTATGACTCCTGCACACAGAACGCGACAAACGTTTTATTGCATCCTGTGTGCAGCAGCCTGGTAGCTGCATTTCAATATTCACTGGCAATACTGAAAATCTATAATTTGCACATAATATGTACTATAGATTTGCAGTACTGGCACTAAAGATTAGAACACGCACAGCATGTGTATGCAATATATTTTTTTTTTCATTTTGTGGCAATATAAATATCTATGTATACGTTATACTTTTTGTGTGAGAAAGTATTTTTGCTTTGAATAGCAAAGTGAATATACATATATATATAATCAATTGTGTTATATTGTTCTTATAAACAAAGAAAATAGTTTTCGGTTTTATTTTTTATTATGTATATTGATTCTCGTTTTTTTGTAGCGCTATAAACGTAGTTGGAAGGAGAAGGCTGAGAGAAAAGTTATAAAAAAATTGAAAGTTGAAGAGCAACAAAATTATGTTTCGAAAAGAGTCCATAGATTACTAGAACCAAAATGCAATAGTTCGAGCAACAGCAATTTGTCAGTTTCAATAGAATCTGAAGAAGAGGAAAACTTGCAACTTAATGAATTAATAGATTTTAATCAGCATTCTCAAAGTGAGCTTGAGATTCAAGAAGATATAGCTTTTGAAAGACTTCCAAATGTCATGAGTTCTGTTGAAAATATAGATGAAAGTAAAAATAGAGTTGAAAATGAAAGTATAAATGAGAGTGAAAATACAGATGAAAATATAAATGAAAGTAAAAATAGAGATGAAAATGAAAGTATAGATGAGAGTGAAAATACAGACAAAAATGAAAATATAAATGAAAGTGAAAATACAGATGAAAGTGAAAATGAGAATGTTAATATGGTTTTTGAAAATGATCAGCAGAAGGAAAATTATGTTTTATTAGCTTTACGTAAATGGGCTTTATCAGGTGGTGTTATTTCCATGTCTAAAATAGATGAATTACTTGCGAAGCTTCGACCTGTATTTAATAATCTGCCTAAAAGTTATAAAACTTTACTGAAAACTGATGATGTACATATTACTCACTTTGAAAATGGAGGACAATTTTGGTATCGAGGAATAAAAAATTATTTGGATGGACTTACTTTAGAAAATTACTTGCAAGTGAAAGAAAAAATTGAAATAGATATTAATACTGACGGACTCCCCCTTTTTCGGAGTTCAAAGAAAAAGTTTTGGCCAATATTAGGACATCTCGTAGGAACTAAAAATGAACCCTTCGTTATTGCTATTTATTTTAGAAATTCTGATCCTAATAATGTACAAGAGTTTTTACAAGATTTTGTAAATGAAGCTGATAATCTAATAACTAATGGTTATATACGAAATGAAAGAACTTATGACTTTTTAATTAGACATTATGTTCTTGATGCTCCAGCTAGAGAATTAATAAAATGTTGTATAGGTCATAATGGATATGCTTCTTGTGAGAAATGTACGGTATGGGGCGAACGATTTGATCATAGACAAACGTATGTTGATCTACATGCTCCTTTAAGAACTGACGAAAGTTTTGAAAATCAAATGCAGCCTCGTCATCACAAAGGAATATCACCTCTTCTTCAACTCAATACCAAAATGATCTCTCAGTTTCGATTAGAGCCCATGCATTTGGTATATGAAGGCGTATTGAGAGAGTAAGAGAGTATTGGAAGCGTGGAAGAATTGGATAAGTCCATGGAAACTACACTGGACTGTTGTAAATAGAATATCTGATAGGCTCCCAGCAAACGCAAAAGAATTAAAAGATATTAAAATTTTTTAATATCTTTGAATCCCTTTTTTGGCGAAATTAGATGGAATTAGATGGGATTCGAAATGAGATGGTCCAATCCCATGGAATCCAAAAAAGAAATTTTAAATTCCATCCAATCCTATGGAATCCGTAAAAGTTATGGAATTACATGGCATTAGATGGTTTAGGAAACGTCTCGCGCCTCCGTTGGGCGACCAAGCGCCGTTGTTCGTCGGAGCTTTTGTGTATGTCTATGAGCATTACACGCACTACTGCCGACGGGCAATTAGCCCGAAAATGAGATTTGTAAGATCTGTCAGGCACCGTAGGGGGTCCCTTTACATAGCGGTCGAGACGAAACTTTGAACTCGAGAAGATGCCCCGGCGATGCAACGCCTAGCGGCGTCGACGCGAATTGCCGGTAATGCAGATACCGCGCGGGGTGTATTATTGTTGGCGCGTACCGCCACAGAGTTCAACACGGACACTTTTCAATCCCTACCCTGGCATTCAATGGTATTCATTTTATTGTCAGAATAGACGGAATTCAATGGAATTCAATACGGAAATTTTTAATTCCTAGTTTGGCGTTCAATGGTATTCATTTCGTTAACGGAATCAATGGTATTCAATGGAATTCATCACGAAACTTTCCAATCCCTAACCTGGCATTCAGTGGTATAATATTTTTGTGTCGGAATTGGATGGGATTCAAAAAAGATAAATTCTTTTCAAAATAAGGAATTCCATGATATTGAAACTATTTCAATCCCTTTTTTGGACAGAATGGAATTCGGAAAGTCCTTAATTGAATTCCTGGCAATCCCGTTTTAATTCTTTTCAATCTTTTTTCGTTTGCTGGGCTGGTTCTACTAGCTCCTTCTTATCCTCAGGATTTCGCTCGAAGGCCAAGATCTTTAAATGAATTATCATTTTACAAGGCAACGGAATTCCGTCGTTTATTATTATATGATGGCATTGTAGCTTTTGCTTTGCATCCTGATATAAATATTTATAAGCACTTTCTATTATTGCATTGCGGAATTTATATTCTTACGAGTCCAATTCTTTATAAAACTTTGAACGATTGTGCAAATACTCTACTCAGAACTTTTATCGAACATTCTGTCACACTATTTGGACAATTATTTGTAGTCTATAATGTTCACTCTCTTAGCCATTTGGCAACGGAATGTAATGATCATGGTTGTTTAGATACATTCAGTGCCTTTCGTTATGAAAACAAATTGAAAACAATTAAAAGTAACCTCAAATCTGGTTTTCAACCCCTTCAACAAGCAGCAAAACGTGAGATAGAACGAGGCAAAAAAAAAGTTGTACTAGATTCTGAAGTAAATAAAGTTATTCTTTCAAAAGAACACAGAGATATTAATGAAGATATTTATGGTGAACAGTTCAGAAAAGTTTCAGCAAATGATGTTATTTTTGAAGTGAATGGTAGAGATTCATGTTTCAAAACAAGTAGAGATGAAATTGTAGTCCTGAGAAATATCATTCGCAGACAGGATAATGTAATTTTTGTTGGCAATATTTTTACAAATATTAAAGATTTTTATACATATCCTTTACATTCGTCCGAACTTGGTATTGTCAAGGTATCTGATTTAAATGAAGAAAGATTGGTATTTTCTTTAAATAATATTATTGCCAAATGTTGGCTTATTCCTATAGGAGATGAATATGTTTGCATACCTTTACTTCATACTATGTCGTTTTACAAATAGAATGCCAAAATTTTGTTTTATTCAGTATTATAAACATGAAATTGTGACATATATCCCGTTTATATTATTGTGTATCTATTGTAAGTTTTTTTTATGTGTTATATGTATATATTTCAGAAAAATTTTAAATCACTACACATTACTATTTTCCAGTTTGTCGTTGTGAAATTTGTAAACGAAGATGTTGATTGCGATGAGGAAGATGATTCTTTATTTGAAGTTGGTCTTACTAAATGGCTAAAAGAATTAGATAATGAGAAGAATGCAAAAATTTCCTGGCCTCCTAAATCTGAACAGAGTACTGCAATTAAAAAACAAACAGATGCACTTCCTTCATGGCCGATATATAATGTTATTGTTTTAAAATCTTATGGTATATTGTTTCTTATTATGTGTTTAATTTTGTCTGTAAAGTTATTAATTGTTCTTTGCATTTCTTATAGATTTACTTTTGGCTGCACGGAATGCACGGAATGGATATATTATATCTTCAAATTATGAAACAGAATGTGAATTTGGTCGTGGCAAACGTAAAAAAATCTCAACAAAAGTGACACAAAAGAAGAAAAATACTTCAACTTCTGAAGAGTCAGATTTTGATGATGGTGTTACACAGAAAAAATCTAAACAAAGTGCTCCTTCTCCACCAGTTATTTCCTTTCGATCAAACAAAAATAAAGCTGAGAAAAATACCAAAGGTAGTAAAACCAAAAACAAATTATTACAAAAAAATTATAATAAATTAGAAGAAAAGAATGACGCAATGTTGACGTCTCGTCAAAATCACGAAGCTAGAAAGGATTTCCTACCTACAAACATAAGTCAAGCAAAGAAGGTAACTTCAGCTATGGATAACAAATAAAAAATCATAGAGACAGCAGGACAAAAACACAAATGTATGTGAACGGGGACAGTTTCGCCCCGGAGGCAAGATTTACGATATTGTTACTCGAATGACCAGAGGGGGGTTGTTGATTTCCCCTCACGACTATCAAATGTTTAACGCGAAGGCAGAAGCGCATGCAGCGAAATATTAAAGCGAAGCGACTCACCGTGTCGGCCGTCGTCCCCGTGATCCCGCCAGGCCTCGTCCTGTCCTCCGATCTCTGGCCGCTCCGTGGGTCTCGTCTCGTTCGGCATGCGACGGCAAAGCCCGTGCAAGCAAGCAAGCGGTGGAGAGCAAGCAATAGAGCAGGCAGGAAAGAAAGCAGTAGGAGACGTGCGCACTCCCGGTTGAGCGAGGCGGCAAGGCGATTCCGTGGTTCGTTCTGCCCGGCGAATGTGTGCCGTAAGACGGCTCTCAGAATATGTGTTTGCCGTAAGACGGCTGGCCAAAATATATGTGTGCCGCACGGCGGCTTGACGAAGAGGTTCTGTCCCCGCAATCCTGGAACATGTCGCTGCGGGCGAGTAGTTGTTCCCTTTCCGGGGGGGTGGATGCCGTCGGCGGATGGGCGATAGCAGCACCGACAGGTGAGTCGCATGAATTGACTGCTCGCGATCCGCCGACGTTTCGCGCGAGAATTACAAATGACTTATGCAACTAAGTATGAATTATATACGACTACATGAACATAAAGTGATTATACTAACGAGTACACTATATACAAGGCGATCCGCCGAACAGTATGATAGAAGACGATGTAAGTATTTCTATACGTCGCATATGCAACTACATGATGTATATATAAGTCATAATTTTATTAATATAAGTATAATAAAATAAGTTTAAATCTTTTAAAATGTTTGCAGACAAAAATAGTATCTGATGCTACAGATGAGAAAAATCTTGATCCTAATATTATGCGAAAAAATTTTTTAATGGAAGAAAAGAATGACGCAATGTTGACGTCTCGTCAAAATCACAAAGCTAGAAAGGATTTCCTACTTACAAAAATAAGTCAAGCAAAGAAAGTAACTTCAGCTATGGATAACAAATAAAAAATCAAAGAGACAAAAACACAAATGTATGATAGAAGACGATGTAAGTATTTCTATACGTCGCATATGCAACATGATATGTATATATAAGTCTGTTTGCACAAGCTCGCGCACAAGCCTGAACTCTAGAATTAGATGAGGAAGGAACAAATAATAAAGAATCCGTTTATTGAGAGAGAGATTGCATTTAATAAATTTAAGTAATTTGAAATGACTCGAATGGGCAGAACTAAACAAAGAATACCAACATTTGTTGCATAGGAGAAGGGAAACTGCCCGAAAACCTTCCCAATATTCTTAGACAAATTATTACATAGATGATATAACATATAATGAAAATACAATAAATGCATAAAACACACAAAAGAAACAAATCAATAATTATTATAGTACAGTCCTTTCCTTGTATTGATGACAAAATAAAAGTTGAATTCACTGATGCTTTTCTTCGTTATATAATCAGGTTAATCATAAAGGAAATATTTATAGTACTTAATCTCATAGTTTCTATTGATGTAGTCAAAATAAAAAGAAGCATGTAATTTCAGGAGAGGACTGTTCAACAAATAAAGCAAATCAATCAGAATATAAGTTCAGTTCAAACATCATTGAAATAGTTATTGAATCAATGTATCAATCTTTGAGTTCTGAAAATTCATTACTTTTCATTGGCCTTTTACAATTTATCATATATAACAATTTGCTCTAGAACAAATAATTCTCTTTCAGCAAAATCATGTATTCAATACAAAAAAGATAAAGTATAATAATTTCTCAATATATAGCATTCATAGGCCTTATGGTTTGGATCGACACATTAATTCATATTATCATAAACGGAATATTTGATCAGTCAGAATTCACAAAATACTTAGTAGAATAATTATCAAATCAATGAGAAATAATTCTTATAGAAACGCAC